GTGAAGGGGCAGCTTTGATAAATGAAGCAACTTCTTGACATATTGATGTGCCCTGATGCTTAATAACTAATAACAACCCCTTGGTTTCAATTTTTTCCATCCTTCTAGCAATTCTGTAGATGCCCAGTTCCCTGTATAGAATTTCTCCTCCTTATGCAAACTAGAGTGTTTATGTCTAAAACTAGAGTGTTTATGTCTTCAAGTCCTAAGCAAACCTAGGAAGATATTTTTAAGAGGATTTTTGTTTGTTTGTTTCCTTTGTTAGTTGCTTTTTTCCATCATATTTCTTCAGGTGAAAATTTACCTTATAAATTGCAAAAATATCCTGGAGATTTTCCTTCTTTAAATTTTCCATGGTGTTTTTAAGTGGCAGATATTTATTTTGTCTTACCATGGATAATTTCAAATATATACTAAATAAGAAATTATTATAATTAATCCCAATGTACCAATTACTCAGTTTCAACCATTATTAATTAATAGGATGACAATTTTGCATTAGGTAAAACTTAATCCACATTTTTCCTAATGCAGATTATTAAGAAAGTATGATTTACCAGTTTTATTATAGTAGAGGTTCACTTATCACTCAGTAGAATTTAAGACAGGTTCATTTGCATCCGCATAATATAAAGTGTAAGTGTAGTAAAATAATAATATAAGGCAAAAATAAATTTTCATATTATATAATCATAAATAATATATAAGTTAATATAAATATAATAAAATACTATGAAAAAAAACCATATATTAAATAAGCATCTAGGCATATCTTGTGCCTTGTTAATTTGCTACTATTTGGGGCTAAAAAAGTGATATCGTATGCTCTGCCATATTCCTCTGACTATTTTAGGAAGAAATTACATATGTGACCAGCTCGTCAAGATTTCAGGTTTTTCTCAATTTCTCTCATTATCTCTACAAACTTTTACTACTTTCATAATAAGCTTAAAACTGGCTGTTTTTAAACCATATTGCTGTCACATAGAAATATAGTTGGGGAATTATTAAACTCTGAAAATAAATATGAGTTAAAAACTGGCTTAAATCACTCCCTCTCTTTCTTTTTCACACACACATGCACAATTTTGAATATTTGGAGGTTAAATCCTTGTAAACAAGTGACTGAATTATGCATATTTCCATCAGGAAGTTGAACTGATTTCTATGAAACAATAATATTTTGTATTAGCAAAAGTAAATATAACAAGTCACAGACAGAAAACTGGTTCCCAGTAGAACAAACTTGTTTAGCTACACCAGCTAAGCAGCCGTCCCCAGATACGCTGAGCAATTACCCAGTTTGGTCTCTACTTCAGTGACTGTGCACTGGTCTTGTAGGAGGTGATATTGGCATAATCAATTCTCTTGCATTGTGTACAACCTCACTTTGACATGACTGCTGGGCTAATCACACAGATCTCCCAGTAGCACAGAAGTATCAGATTTTCCCATCACTCATTACACTTAAAGATGTTTTGCCTATCCCACCAAAATGCTAAAACCATACCAAAACAAAACACACACACACACACACACACACACACACACACACACACACACACACACACCTTTCAGTTTTGCCAAAAAACATTTTTTCTGATTTTGCAGTTGCATGCATATGACAAATGCTTTAAAGATTACAAGAGTTTCTTCTGCAAATCCTTTAGCAAAGCTGATGGCCCAGGAAGGAGCACTTTGTTTATATTTACAATCCAATCATGTTACAGACACAGATCCACTGACCCAAGCAACCGCTTTCTCAGTATTACTATATAGTCAGAACTGTTTTTTTTTCTTATGATAAAACATATATTTCACCAAGAAAATAAAGTTTTTAAATGCAATTTGCCACAACATAGATGGACCTAGATGACATTATGCTAAGTGAAATAAACCAGACAGAAAAAAAAATATTGTATGATCTCACTTACATGTAGAATTTAAAATAAAGAGCTCAAGTACACAGAGATAGAGAATTAAACATTGGTTACTAGGAGCTGAGAGAAATAGGAGGAAATGGGGAGATTTAGGTTAACGGATACCAAATAGCAGATGTAGGATGAACAAGTCTAGAGGTTGAATGTACAACATAATGATTAAAGTTAATAAAATTGTATTGTATTTGGGATTTTTGTTAAATAAGTAGATTTTTAGTCACTCTTGTCATAAAAAACTATGCGAGATGACAGATATGTTAATCTACTTCACTATAGTAACAATTTTACTACCTATATATATCCCATAACATCATATCATAAACTTCAAATAAATGCAATAAAATTTATTCCAAAACAATAACACAAATGAATGAATATTCAACAATATATAGACCCTACAATAGTACATCCCTAATAATGGAAATTCACATATAAAGCAATTGGCAATCAACTCCCAGACCCACAGAACATCTGGCTTTCTCTTTCTGCTTATTTCATGAGCCATATAATCATGCAGCTTCTAATATTTTACATTTTTTATCCCATTTGTAAAATCGTATCAGGGATTTTCTGTCATTACTATTTGCTACTTGCTTAGAGTAATCATTATGTGCTTAGGCATCTTATGATCTTCATTTTTAAGGTCCTCACAACCACCATTTTTTCCCCACACTAATCCCATCCAGCCCAGCCTGCCCTCCCCAGACAATGTCCCACCTTGAAGATCTCTGTTCAAGTTTTCCCTTATTTCACTTTACCCACTGTCTCCTATGCTGGGAGACTATTTTTGGTTTACTATGACAAAGGGAAAATCTGGAAATTTCATTTACACTTAAGTTGTTTGTAGCTGTGAGGAATTAGTTTTTTAACCCCAAAATGCACAGGCCCTAGGAGATCTGCAATTTAATACAGGACAATTCCTTCATAACTCAGACTGACACTGGTGGAGGAAATGTTTGGTGGAGGAAAGGTTTGAGGCAAATACTTGTCACTGAGCCATAATACCTGAGGTAACTATCTTTTCCAGGTAGACTTAATCTTAACCTAAATAGAAGCGAATAATCATGTTTGAATGAGAATAAAAACAGAACTAAATTTAAAGCTAAAATCTAATTGTCAGCCAGCTGAATAACCCTATTTCTTAATGGGACATGTTGTTCTCTCCCAGCATCTTACCTTTGCAAGGTAGTATTGTTATGCTATGTAGCTCTTCCCAATTTCATTACGTCTTGACCCAGATGGACCTCAGCTACTAAACTATAATAGTCTTCCTGATTTTAGGCTATTGACCTCTCTTTTCTTAGAGCACTTACTTTAGAAAAACTGTAACTGTAATTTTTTTTCTCTGCCCCCTTGAGATGTAAATCTTTTTACAACTTTCCAGTTTTACAACCCAGGAATGCCTTTTCCAAAGACCTGAGAGGCATCCCTTTGAAATGTGATTATCAAGAAAGATAATGCTCCTTTCTTTCAGTTTTTATGGGAGGATAGGAGCCTAAATTCTTTGGGCACCTTGCTCCATGTTGTAAAACTCCCTCCTATCCTGGAGATACCAGAGGGAAAGTTTACTTTTCCTTTGGGTATGACCAGTTTGCGAACTCAGATGATCTATGATTCCCCATTCCAGCTCTTACAAACTCTCCTGCTTATTTTTCTATTTTTATTTTTCCAGAAAAACTTAGTTCAGACTGAGTTCTGGTCTCTCTCACCTATTGCAACAGCCTTGAATAAAGTCTTCCTCGCCTGTTTAATTTTGTCTAGTGCAATTTTTGCTTTGACAGTCTATACATGGACAAATTTAAGTACTCATGTCCAATTTGTAGATGTTGCATCAGGATTCTTTCATGAAACAAACATCCTGAACATAATCTGACTAAGGAAACAAAGAAAGCGCAGTACCTTTTTTTTTCGCATCAATGGCAGTTTCCTTCTCACTTTTCTTTTTGACATCTTCTTTTTCTGCTGGTAAAATAAGATAATTATAAGCCTCTACTACTTAATTCTTATATTTTCAGGGTATGCATGACTGCCATTGTGACATCCAATTCATCTTGTATAGAGAAGTCCTAAATCAGAGCCATGAATCATGTCAAATATCAGTGAATTAGCACATTCATAACAGACTAGAGGCTTAGGTGTGCTTTTGCTTCAGGAAGGGGCAAATTTTTCCAAGAGCAAAAAATCTTTCATGACAGTGGAAACACTGAATGGCATTATTAATTATGATAGAATTCAATAGTTTTTCTAAGGTTTATTAAAAGGAATGTATGCATCTTTCCTGGACTATCAGGTCACTGGAAGCATGTCAGAAGCTCCAAAATCTCTGAGGCTTACTTGGGACATCACACAAACTATTAACTTAAAAAAAAAAAAAGAATACAACAAAATAAACCAATCAACTATTTTCTTTCCTCTACATAAGATAATTTGCTGTTTTGATTAACATTTCTTATTAAACGGAGTAAGTCGAATAATAATCTTCACATTTATATATATATATATATATATGTATATGTATTACTGTATTACTGTATTTATTCAGCAACTTAATTCTTTTGTTTGTTAGTGTTCTATCAAATTTGAGGGCTTATAGTTTATGTTTGGCTCTCAGTGAGGATTATAAAACAATGACTGTGATAGATTGGTTTTAGAAGCCCATGCCCAGATCATTATTGCATAGTTTGCTTTTGAGTATCAGGTGTTTCAGTTTGTGTTCTGTTCACTTGTGTTGTTTCCTCCTAGAACAACATATGGGGTCAAAAAGAGGATCTTAACTATCGGCTTGTCAATATTTGCATGGAAACTTTATGGAGATAAAACAGAAATATATCACTGAGAAGTGGGAACAACTCTGACCACTAAGGAGGAAAAAATATTCAGGCGTAGTCATTTTTTTAAAGTGTTTAGGCTTGAATTAAAAAAAAATCAATTTCAAATTTATTTGAAATATTTAGAAATCTCAAAAGTGTTCATTAGTAAAATGAATATAATAGCTTTATCAGCAGCAGTATAAATGGATACTAATCTACTTACATGTTACAGAGTTTTAAAATTCATTACCTTTCTTTTTTGTTTCAGAAGTAACTTTCTCCTCAGCTTTCTTTTCATCTTCTTTTTCTAGGGAAGAAATTTGAAAGGTTCCCTTTAGGAAAATTGAGTATGAAAGAAAAGCTAAGGTTGAAGTGAATTATTGTTAAGTCAATTCTGCCTCCAGAGAGCTTTTTGACCTTGAGCAAGTGATTTGATCTCACTAAACCTTATTTTCATCATTTGAAAAATAATAGTACCTCTATCAAAGTTATATATGTATATGAAGCACTCTACACAGGTCCTGCCTAACAGTAAATGCCTAAAATTGTAGACTACTAATATTATTTATGAATCATCAATAAGATAGTTTGAGCTTTCTCAACCAAACAGCTATTTGCCTGGTGCCTAAAGTAAGATATTTATAAATAAAAGTAAAATATAATTTCATTGGAAAGATACTACATGGAAGTTAAAAAATTAATTTTTGTTTTCACATATTCAGTTTCATTAGAAATAATATGTTAGGCCATTAATGGTATCTATTTTGATTTAGCTGTTTTCCAAATCTGGCTCTTGTCAACAGGAATGTACAGCCTGGTGACATTAGTCTGGCAGTATGTTGGAGACATAACTTCCACTGCCCTCTCTGTACAAGTTGTATCAAGGGTACTCAGACAATCTGTGCACCCAGAGTTTGTTGTAAGTGTGAATGCCACGTAGAACTTTTTACGGTGCCTCTAAACTTCATGCGAGATCCGTGTTTCAGAAATCTGAGAAAGCCTTAGTCTAAGGGGCAAAAAGAACCTCAAGTGTTACCATAGCCTTTTAACAATTGGACAACCCTGAATATTTTTTTGGTAAGTATCATTTCAAATAACAAAGTCATATAAAGTAGTTGCTAAAATGGAATGTTCGGTGATTTTAGGTTTAAGGCAGTAATAAGTACAGTTAATTTTGGGAATTGACTGATTTTTATCTTAAATGACTAGTGTTATTTACCTTATATTTCAAATACCTTTCTCTTTGCCATTTGTCATTTGTCTCAGGTACAGATGCATTCAAAAATTTTCGTTACTCAGAACTATTATAAAATTGTTGCTATGCTAAAGAAATTCCATGTGTATTTCTAGGATGAATGCTTAAAGTTGTCTACTAATGACTGCATCTTATTAAATCCCGGAATTAATTCATTCCCTTAGGTATAGAGCTTTTTTACCTACAAGATCAAAGATAACACTTTCTTTCAGTGTTAGAAGTATAATTTATAAAGAATCCCTTTTCATGACTTCTAGAAATAATCTAGTGTTGTAGGGAGAAATATATTCACACTTAGTCTAAATGTGTCTACAGTGTACTATTACAGCTCATCCAATCAGAAATAAAAAGTCAAGAAGTCAAATTCTGATAGTTCCAGAGTTAGAAATAAACCAATTGAAGTCTACTTTGCCTTTTCCTAAAGGTTTATTTATATTAAATATGCAAATCCATATTTAAAATTCTGAATAAAGATACTTTTGATTTAAGTATTATTACATTCTGCTTCTCTGGGAGAAATTTTATGTAGCAGAGCATTTTCCATCTTAGCTAAATAAATGCATATGCTAGATAATTGAATAGGCATTTACTAAACATCACCCTCCAATGTCATGCACCAGAAAAGAGGTTAATTAAAATACAGACTACTTGTAACTATTTCTAAACCTGTACTCAATATTAATGCCATAGTCACTGTAAGATCACAACTCAATATCCAAGTCTCTAAGTTTTATAACATAGATGAATAAAGATTTCTTTAAAAAGTTCATGCCAGTTAGTCAATCTGACACCAAACTTCGGAATGAAAGTAGATATTTGAGGCCATAAGAGGGAAGGCATTCTTTTCATATTTTAAAAAGAGCATGCTCTTGTGCAATAAATTCTACCCTTTAAATTAATATAGTTGGGATTTTATTGTGGAGATACAGTATTCTTGCCTTAGTTCAGATGGAATTAATGCTTCCATTACACACTGCCTGTGATTATAGCCATACACTGTGTGTCATGAATAAGAGCAGAAGTCTACAAAAAGCAGGTACTTTAATAACATTTTTATGAATAAGACCTTTAAACTGTCATTATGGGACTCACTTTATTCATGATGAATTTCATTTAAAACATCCACTTCTGAAGATTCTGCATTTTTTCAGGCATTATTGTCTCTGTTCTACAGGTGACTTGGCAGTAGTGGAATTAAACTTTTCATTTATGAAAAACTTAACAATTTAATTATAGCCAACTTAGATACAAAAGTAGCCCACGTTTCTATTAAGAAACTCCTTCCTCTGTTTTTTTGTCCCTCAACAGCAGTATTTCTCTTTCCACCAGACTCTGCGCCCACATATTCTATCTCCTCTTCACCTTCTTTTCCCATTTTTCTTTTCTTTTTTTTTTTTTTTTTTTTTTTTTTTTTTTTTTTTGCTGTTTTGTTTGTAACAGCTAGAGAAGGATTAGAGCATTTAATACCATTGGTTTTCAGAAGGTTAGCAATTAAATATATCTAGGATGTGAACTTATCAGTATATTGCCTTTCTCTGACAAGTGTCACAAGCCCTGAAGTGATGGCTCTATCTAGCAGGGATCACAGGAAAGGCTGGATGAGACAGAAATCCTCCCTACAATGAACAGCTCTGAGCCACAAATATGTTATTAGCTTCTGCATAAATTAACATCAGATGAAAGAAAAATTAAACGACTTACTTTTTACTTTCTAAGCTCTTACAATGGGCTTTTATCTTGCTTTTAAATGTTTTTGTGCCATCTCAAAGCCAGAGAAGCACAGTAGTTAATTACAATTGTAAAGCTTTCTAAGATTCAGTTCCTAGCAGAACGAGGAAACAAATGCAAACCTGTCTCATTTTTGTCTTATGTTTTGTTGCTCCCCTCTTTGCCTTTCTAGTACAGAGATTATCCAAATCCTACATATCTGTTGGATGCTTTTCTAACACTTTATGGCCAGGGTTGATGTATTTTTGGTTCCAGTCGAGTAAATAAGGATTTGTTTCTTTCATAACAATGCATTCCAGCATACCTCATCCCCATCATGTCACCTTGTTTCTCTAGAGTGGCAGTGATTGCCCTGGAAACCAGCTCACAGTATGACCATGGAAAATTCCACATACGCTGATAAGTTCAATTACATGAGTGATTAATGGAGTTTTCCCACTGTCATCTACAGAGGGGTGTGGGGCATGAGAGGAAAATAGCATAAGTGCTTGCACCAGTGACCTTGGTCTGAATTCTGTCTTTGAGCCTTTCTGGTTGTGTGATACTAAGCAATGTGCTATGACACAATGAATTTCATTTTCCTCATTTGAAAATTTGGGCTAAGAAAACCTACCTTCCTGGATTGTTGTGAGAAATGGAGATAACTGAGCTAAAATGCCTGAAACAGAGTAGATGTTCAAAAAATAATAATAGTAATGACAAGCTATTACTATATTCTACAAATAACAAATATCTGACTGCATATAATTTTTATTTTTCTAGGTGTGATATTTATTGATCTCTTTGAGTAAATGCAAATTAATTCTTATTTTCTATATCTAGGGTGTCTATGAAATATTTTGTATTAAGAAGCTTCAGGAAAAAAATGTACATATGTAAGAATAAACTAAATGTACATAAGTAAGAGCTGTGCTGCAATGAAAAAGAAGTGTATTTCAGTCTTGGTTTTGCTATGATTAGGAGCCATTGCTTTGTGCAACTCTAGGTAATTCATAAATCTTCTGTCTTTAGTCATAAAAGTCAGGGAAATGAGTACAATGTATTTAAATTCCTCTTTACCAGTTCTTCCCTTATTTCCCAAATGAAATATGCATTTTCTTACATTTATTTTATAATTTTGCTGGGACCAGGTAACTTAAAATGCATGTAAGTTGCTGTGGTTTGTTGCCTGGTTTTGATATGGCTTAAACATGTTTAAGGCAAGAGGAAGTTTCATTTTATAGGCTTAAAATGAATAGGGATCAGAAAAAAAATAAAGCTTAGTATAGAGGATTAGAACATGAGAGGTTTGGAGGTGGCATTGCTTTTTTTAAGGTAGATTGGGGTAAACCTTTCTGAATGGGTAACATTTGAAAAGAGTCTTTAAAAAAGTGGAAGATCTTTGGGTTATTGGGGAAAAGAAAATTTCAGCAGAGGAAAAATATCTGCCAAGATCCTGAAATGGGAGCACACCAAACATATATATATATATAAAAGAGCTTGAAAAAGCTTGGAGACAAGTGTGGCTGGAGTGGAGGACCTGGGAGGAGAGTGTTAAGAGGAGCAGCCAGAGATGTAGTGGGACAGATCATGTAGAATCTGTAGAATCTTGTTGCTCATGATATGAACTTTTGATTTTACTGTGAATAACAGAGGAAACCACTGAGAGATTTTAAGTGGAGAAGTTATATGATTCTGAATGATAGTTTAAGAGGAACTTTGGATGTTGCTGGGTGGTGTCAAGTGTCTCACTGGATTTTGTGATCATATTGTAAGGAAGAAGATGTAGAAAAAAATAATTCAGTACAAATATTATTTTCCCCCCCCCCCCCCAAAAAAAAAAATTCCTCTAAATTTTATCTGGGTCTCTTTAAGGAATATAACATTATAGAAACATAGTTAAGAGTACCTCACTCCCCATTGTAATTAGGTTGCTATGTGAGCAAGGCTCTCCAAATTAAGGACTTGAGTTATCTGGCATAACTAAGCTGGCCTTTCAGGACCTGAATCCATTTTCCTTTCCTTGACATTTCTTTAGTGATACCTGAATTATTCTTAGATGCCAGCTCTTCTCATTTATCAGCTATTAACAGAGAACAATAAACAGCCAGCAATTCTGTAGTACTTTTCAGTGACTACACACAGACTTTCAAATATACAATTTGCTCACTTCTATCAACAATTGTTCGTTTAGCTTTATGTCAAACCACTTGACAGGGGCTGGAGTTTTTTAAAAAAATTCCTTGCAGGAACTCCAGGTTGGGGACTGACTGCGGCATGGGCGGAAAAGCAGCGCCACCTTCTGCCTCATTGTTGGAAAACTTATCTTTTGGCTCTCTCACAAC